AACGATAGCCATCGGCTTCAGAGAAGGAATGGGCAGGAGCAGAAGCTCCAACATCGTAGCTTTCATAGGAAGCAGCTGGAGCAGCATAGGCAACTTCAGGAGCTGGAACGGATGCAGCTACACCATAGCTGGCAGCACCGACAGCACCACCTACATTGGGTGGCAAATATTCATTGCTAAGTTGGGCAGCGGCGGTGGCAAACAAGGCAAAGGCAATGGAAAGTTTCTAAAAAATAAAAACAAACAACTGTTAATTAGAAGGATACTGGTTGACAGGAAATCCAAATATATTGTTACTAACCATTTTTGAATTTGCTAGTTAGTTGTTGTGTTTGCAAGAAAACAATGGGTAATGATGCTTTACCAAAGGCCATTGCTGTTTTTATACAATTTTTTCCTTATTGAAAGAATGAAACATTTGTATGTTTGAGAATAAGAATCGCCAAATTGCAGAACATTTTTCGTTATGAGAATATAGAGAAATCGAAAATATGTTGCAGTGGAATAACCCCGCTTGACTACTTCGAAAAAAAGACAATACATCACTGTCGGTTAGCTTCACCTTTCACAGTTATGCTACAGTATAATATCCATACAATCTGAATTGGATTTTTACCGGCACTTTTTAGTTATATTAAATATTTAAAAATATATATTTAAAATAAAATAAATGTTAGAATTTTCACAGATGTTATATAAACGGCTGCATTTAAAAATATACAGAGTCAAAATAATTCAATATTGTTTTAAATTTCCATTATCACGATAAAAAGGTAAATGCAGGCAAAATGTCAGAGAACTTAAAGAAGAATTATAAAAGAAACTTGATATTTTGAACAATTTGCAAAATAGTCCTAAGATAAACTGTATATGATATTATTGGGCGTTGTGTTTCATTTGGTTGGTCTGACCGACCATAGCCACTAAATACCTGTCTGCGTATCTTTAAAAATTTTTGATTAAACTAAAACTACTTGCCAAATAGCTTCAGCATTTGAGAATTTAACTTAGAGTACCCTTTTGAAGAAAACAGATGAATCACTTTACATTTTATGAATGCTACGATAATTATTTATTATTTTTGTGTATTACTAGCAAATTCTTGCTGCTTCGTATATGAAAAAAGGAACTTCTATTAAGTGAATTTCTGTGTGATATAATACCCCAAATAAAATATATTAAGTAAAGGAACGCTAGTTCTTAATCAAAGTGATGTCTACACCGAAATTCAGAATTCTAGCTTTTTATCTACTCTATATACAAAGTTTAGTACCATTTAGAACTTTCTTTAGACGTTGCATTACGGATTTCCAAATTTACTTCCTTTCCGAACGCTACACACTTACAGTTATCCTACTATCTTAATTTATAATTTCTATTTCTACACTATATGCAAAATTTAGAGCTTTTCGTTCACGCTTTTCAGATCAACATCCTTTTATACTATATTTCAAAATTCGTCCTTTATCCATTCACCTAAAACCACATTATACCATATTTAGTACACGCCACTTAGTAAACGAGTTTATTTAATTTTAGTACTTTGTTCGAATTTCCAAAAACACAATATCAAAGTCCCTAATTCCAGAAGTCATATATCCAAATACCATTTTGTACTTTTCTGAACGCATGTCCAAAACCAATTCCAAATCTCAAACCTGTTATCTATCAGTGATGCCAATACTAAATTTCAGGATTATAATTCTATAGCATAATGGAAAATGTTATTACCAAAACCACCTTCGTATCTCAGCCTGGCGCCTCGCGGCTATAGCCTTTGCTTACTTGTTTCGTATATACTTCCCAAACTAACTTCAAATCTTATCAAAATTTCAAAATTCCAGCTTCAAACCCAAAATGTATAAAATTTTAATTTATTATAGTTTTTAAACAATACATTACGAAATTCTAGCTCTATCGGTTAACACAACTCCATATCAAATATAGTTATTTTTAGTACTGTTGGTACACTACAGGGTGCGATGAAAAAACTGCAACCAACTCCAGACTGCTGTCATCTCTAAGGCACTCGTCTGACAGCTGTTAAAATTATTCCAGTGACAGCTCATTATATTGTTTACAAGCGTACAAAAGCATTTTGGTGAGAATTTTCCAGAAAAAAACACAAAGTGGCTATCGTTAGAGCACTCCAGCATTTAAATATGAATAAATCTTTTGTGAGTCGTACCCAGAGTGACCGTTGTGCCACTAAAATATCAATTTTGCCACTTTTTTGGGCTTAGATACCTTTGTGCCACTTTTTTTATTTTGATCCTAAATGAGCCACTTTTTTGAATTTTTGTGCCACTTTTTTATACATTGTGCCACCTTTTTTATACCCTCCACCATAGTAGGAAGGGTATATTAAGTTTGTCATTCCGTTTGTAACACCTCGAAATATACATTTTAGACCCACAAAGTATACATATTCTTGCTCAGCATAAAATTCTACGTCGATTTATCAATGTCCGTCCGTCTGTGGAAATCACTCTAGCTTCCGAACGAAATGAAGTAAGTTGAAGTAAGTGCAGGTCTACGTCTTCGTATAGCCCCCATAAAACGGTACCCCCGATATTCGGCATTTGGATGATTTTAGCGACATTTTTTATCGGAATTGTTTCAAACTTGGCATTTGAAGTTCGTAATAGATACTAAAGCATATGACAGGAGATTGCCTGTGTAGGTTCACGTCTTCTTATAGCCTCTATATAACGGTACCCCGATATTAGGTATTTTGATGATTTTAGCGACATTATTTACGGGAACTATTTCAAATTCTGTATTTGAACTTCGTAATGGATACTACAGCCTATGCCGGAAAATTGTCTGTGCAGGTCCACGTTTTATAACCCCAATGCACCTCCCTATATTCGGTATTTTATTTATTTATAAACAGATTTTTTTTAAGTTTCGCATTTAAATATTATAATAGCTTATGACAAAATTTGCCTATGCAGGTCCACGTCGTCGTATAGGCCCTAATATACGGCTACATTCGGTATTTTTAAGATTTTAACAGAATTTTTAACCGATTTTATTTTTTTTTTGTGAAAATTGCCAAATTTTTACCACATGGTGGAGGGTATTCAAAGTTCGGCCCGGCCGAACTTACAACTTTTTTACTTGTCTTAAATAAAATGTGAAATTAATTGTGCCATTTTCTGTGCCACCATTTAAAGTGATATGTGCCACATTTTTTAAGAAATGATACTTTTTGTGATACTTTTTGAGAATTTCCAGCGGTCACACTGGTCGTACCATCGCTCGTTACCGTGATACTGGTAGCGTAGCCCGACGTCAAGAAAGTGGACGGAAGACGGAACAGCAACATCAACAGAAATTTTTCGAAAAGTAAAGAAGAGACTTGATTGAAACCCGCGTCACAGTGGCCGAAAAATGGCTCGTGAGCTGAACATATCGAAATATTCCGTTCGGCAAATATTGAAAAATGAGCTCGGGGTAAAGACATTTAAATTCCAAAAAGTGCAAACCAATAGAAAAAAAATCGACTCAAAGGAGGCTTGGCTGAAAGTGGTGAACTGCCGAATTTGGTTTTCTTTTCTTTTTGTAAACATGCAAATGAACGTGTTTACTTGCCAAAGAGGTCAGCTGAAATTGTGCACCTTCGCTTGGCCACCAGAACTCAACCGCCGCCCATGGTGATGGTGAGGGCCGCCATAACAGCCGATGGTCGCTCTCTGCTCGTATTAATCGTGGCATCAGAATAAATGCCGCATATTATAGCGAAAATATTCTGGAGGGTGTATTAAAGCCTTGTGCAAGCAAACATTTTGGTTGCAGACCTTGGACATTCCAACAGGACTCAGCACCATCGCACTCAGCACGCGACATCCAAAAATGGTTTCAGAATGAGGTTCCTCGCTTCATTTCTAGCGCACAATGGCCACCAAAATCTCCGGATACCAATCCGTTGGACTATTGTGTCTGGAGTATTTTGTAAAGCAAGGTTGGCACTAAAATATACCAAAGTGTCGATCACCTCAAGCAAGCGCTTTGCCTGAAATGTGCCAAAATACCGCAGAGCAACATTCGTGTGACAGTTTCATTGGCTGTTTAAAGGCCATAATTCGTGCCAAAGGTGACCAATTCGAAAAAAAAACTAAACTTATTTTAAAATTTGATGCTATTTCCGACATTTTTTGGCGTTTGACTTTGTTACAGTTTTTTTTTATCTCACCCTGTATTAGTTGAAATTTGTTGGTACCTTTTAATATCCTTAAAGTACGAATTTTTAAAAAAATCCGCCTTATCTCAACTCTACACCCCTACATCGTATCTCATCATCGCCTAGTCGTTGGACGAACCAAGTTTGTTTGCCATTTCAAAACTTTTCAACTTTAGGGTGTAGGAACTCTCTGCGTCCAATAGACAAATAATATTGATATGTGAAGATTTTGAAGAGCATCGGATCGACATTGGAGGTACAAAAACGTGGGCCAATATTGTCTATTTTTGCACATCGTTTTTTTTAATGTGCGGTGGTGAGGAGTGAAACCCATTTTGTCTATAACACAAAAAAAAAATAAAGTCGAAATTAGGGATTTTTTAGTATTTTCCCAAGAGTGAGAACATTTCCCAGTAAAACAATTTGTTAAGTATGTAAGGTGTTAAGTTTATAAAAGCCTCTTTGAGTTTAGACATTAATGGAATGTTGGTCTATTTTGCCACCGAATCTAAAATTAGGAACTTGTTTTATTTAAGGTCGTTCGAGTTCTAAATGCTAGCTGACATGTAGCAAATAAAATAGTCCCAGCATCCGTTGGGCGCCATTCTATGGTCCATGGGTGGAAGTAAGATTCCGCTTAAGATATTATGTCTCCTAATATCCTCAATCCTACGAATACTTTCCAATTAATATTCCCATTGGAAATAATACATTTTCATATTATATTCATAGAAAAATTTAAAATTTATTTCAATTATAATATTTATTTAATAAATTATTTAATTCTACATAAATATTCAAGCAATTTCTTCATTGCAATATTAGTAAGTCTTTAATTTAGTTACGACGAATAACGCGACGACGTTGAGTCTTGTAACGGTAACCATCGGCTTGGGAGAAGGTGTGAGCGGGAGCAGCAGATTCGACTTCATAGGTTTGGACAGCTGGAGCTGGGGCAGAGTATGAAGTAGCAACAGCGGGAGCAGAGTATGAAGTGGCAACAGCTGGGCCAGAGTATGAGGTGGCAACTTGAGCAGCATTGTTGGTAGCTACAGGTGGCAAGTATTCGTTGGAAACATCACGACGTTGACGACGAATAACACGGCGACGATGGGTCTTGTAGCGGTATCCCTCAGCATCAGAGAAAGTGTGGGCGGGAGCAGCTTCAACAGTTTCAAAGCTTTGAGTGGGGGCAGTGTTAACATATTCGGGAACCGATTCAGAGACAGCTACAGGAGGCAAATATTCGTTGGAGACATCACGACGTTGGCGACGGATGACGCGGCGACGCAAGGTCTTGTAACGGTAGCCATCGGCATCAGAGAAGGTATGGGCTGGGGCAGCTTCTTCAACTTGATAGCTTTCGACAGCAGCTGGAGCGGCATAAGAGACTGGAGCCGAAGCAGTTTCCACGGCATACGATTCAACAGCACCGCCAACCTTGGGAGGCAAGTATTCGTTGCTGAGGTGTGTTGCGGCAGCAGCGGCAACCAAAGCAAATACAATGAAGAGTTTCTGAAAAAACAAAAAAAAAAAACAAGGAACAAGGATAGTTTATGACTTGGTCCTACTTCAAAGCACCCGAAAACATACCATATTTAATTTTTGGTATTTAAACTCCTATTGCTTGAGATATTGAAAAGTCAATGATACTCTGCTGATGATTCCGCCAACTTTATATACAAAATTTAGTTTGGAGTTTTGAAGAGAAATGCAGAATAAAAAATAAATAAGCCTTTCCCAACATTGTCATTAGTTAATCAATATATTTAACAATCCAATTAAGCTGAACGAATGAATGAGAAAATCATTCAGATTTACGACTTCCTATTCGTTTTCATATCTATTGGCCGTTCATTGACATTCATGAAAGAGAATACCCTCAGCAGATCCAACCATATCCAACGCATTGAAGACAATACACATCGTGTGTATTGGTGGTAGTTGACTTCAAATCTATTCAACATTTGAATGTTACAATTTGAGAGTTTTGCAAAATCTCATTTTTCTCTCTGTCTAGTCTGGCGTTTTTGCTTATTTTCTATTATGTTATGTTTTATGGTTTTTCAAACTTCTTTATTCATGCCAGACATCATTAATAGGCCAACACTCCCGTCAGACAGTAGTCAATCTCAATGGTGAAGTTTAAAGAATAGTTTCTTCTTTTTGAATTTGCAGAAACCTTCAATTTTTATTGACAAAATGTCTTGTTCCAGCAAATCCATTTTAATCTGTGAAAATATGTTGGGGTATTTAGGTGTTCATTTTGTGGATTATAATTAAATTAGTTATTGATATACCGTCTGATGAATTGAATAATTTCACAATGTCTGCGATTGACCCATTTCCATGTTCTTGATGAGAATACGTATTAACGAAGAGGACACACGTAGATGGCTCTTATTCGTCTTGTGTCTGCGTCTACATCTGTGATATTGGAATGAGCGTTTAGGAGAATACGATTTTTTCCGAAATGTACATAATGGAACATTTTATTTTGCAAATTAAAATCCACTTCAAAGTTGGTAAAAAATAGGCCCACGTCATTCCAAAATATAATTGTTTTGGAAAATTTCCCCTTAATAGCAAAGGTAGTTAGTATCCAATTAGGTTAAAACCTCTTACATTTTGGTGTCTAAATTAGGTCAGCTATAAAAATAAGCAATATTGGTTCAATACTTTCGGCACTTCCCCACAAATGGTATAAATCTCAAATAGTGTGGTCCCGACCCTGCACTGTGGTACAATGTATTATGTTTTAGTGCACTTATTTCTAACATGCAGACGGAAACGATACAAATCCATAGTTCCTTTTAATGATATCCCTAAAATCACATTTTGAGTCGATTTATGCATGTTCGTCCTTATTTCCATGTATTTTTGTTCAAAAGCGAGCTGCGCCCTGTACGAATTTATTATCCGATTGAGATGCAATTTTTCACATATCATTTGTTGGCTCAAAGACTAACCCTATTGAAAATAGTGATAATCGCTTAAAATAGCTCCCATATATATTTAGGTGTGCCACAGCCGTAATATGCACTTCATAACAACGATAATCGGGACAATATATAAAATATAGCTTTGAAATACATCTGCCAAAATTATAGATTTGGATATATCTCCATCCGATTTTTATCCGATTTCACGTTTTTTTTTGCACCAATTGATTAATATCAGCTCAAATTGAATGTATTTTGGCACATACTATCAAATTCAGCCTAGAAGCATATAAATGTGTAAAATTTAGTGAAAATCGTCCATTCGATTTTACTTTGTCGTGAACCAAACGTGTAATATCTGTCAAAATACCTGGTCATAAATGCATCAAATGTTGTGAAAACAGAGTTCTTCATTTTGAGGTTTAAAGAGTAGGATATTTGTAAAATCATTGAACAATGGTATCACTTCCAAATTTTCCTTCAAAAATTTTTTTTCAACCTATCCATATGTAAACTCTAGAAACCAACAGTGACGTCACTATCAAAATTTAGAAATTTAGCTCAATCTCTCTACACATATCCAAAACAATCTCCATCAATGATCCAAAAATAGTAGCATATAGAATTTTTCGAACAAATATAGTACACATTTTCAAAACCAACACCGGATATCAACAGAGACCTCAATATCAAATTTTGGGATTACAGGTACATTAGACTCAGTACATAGACTCAATACCAAATTTAGTACTTTCCTATAGTTTCAGTGCTGTACGCAAAACAATCTCCATATCTCAACCTCCGATACCAACAGTGACCTTAATATCAAATTTTAGGATTTCAGCTCTTTAATTTCTCCCATTAAGTAATAGTCACATATTTAAAACCAGCCATTCAACTACAGACTCCAATAGTGTCATCCATATGAAATTTCAGGATTTCAAATTTATTCCTTCATCCAATACCAAATTAAGTTCAATTTAGTAGTTTTCGTACAACTATAGTTTCGTACAACGCATTTGAAAAATCACCCCCATATCTCAACACTAGATGCCTATAAAGTCCTCAATGTCAAATTTTGGGATGCCAGCGCCATCCCTTCAACCAATAATCAATTTAGTACTTTTTGAACAATTATAGCAAAAATTTCGGAAAGTAATTCCATATCTCAACTCTAGATACCAACAGAGACCTCAAAGTAAAATTCCGCAAGTCCAGCTAGAAAGCTTCACCCAATTTCCAAAACCACCTCTATATCTTAACCACAGACACCAACAGTGACATCTATATCAAATTTCCGAATTTCAGCTTCATTCCTTCATCCAATACCAAATTTGCTACCATTAAGTACGTACAAACCTCAGACACCAACTGGGAACCCAATACAAAACTTAGTAAACATTTCCAAAACCACCTTTCTATATCAAGCTTATTTTCCAACCATGGTTCTCATATCAAATTTCAAGATTTTATCTCTATCCGTCCAAATGGTACTATTTTAGAAGTTAAGTACCATTATAGAATTTTTCGTAACCTTAAGGATCGAATTTCTAAAAAGCTTTATCACACGCTTACGCACCTTTGTACAAAATTTCAAGGTTTTAGCTTCAGCTGTTTCGTCTGGGCGTTGATTCTGCGAAATTTGCAGACAATCAGCTTCTTATTTCACATTTTAATAGAGCAATGAGTATTCAAAATGTTAATCCTTTGAGGAGGACGCATTGGAAGGAGTGGACCGTTATTGGTCATTTTCATTTTTTCACCTGACCTAGAACCGAGGCTTATATAAGAATTTTGAACAAAATCAGATTCTCCTTTCTCTTTCTACGAGGTAAAGTATTTTCTTTGAAATGTTTGACCGATATTGCTCTTCTCCGGACTCGAACAAAGTTTTATAATTATATTACGATGCACAGAGTTTAGACCACATCGGAGGCTCCTTTCGAGAGTTATCGTGCCCTAGAAAAATGACCTAAAACGGGTTTCGTCTGAAGAGACTTAATGTCTAAACTCGCTGTTTCGACGAGGCACATTTTGAAGGTATCAAATTACATATACCCATTGTAGTCACATGGCGGAGGGCAAAAAAATTTGAAAAAAAAATGTCTCCGCAACCAATTGTTAAAAATAACAAGTAACAAGTTAAAAGGCAGTAAGTTCGACCGGGACGAACGAATTTGAAAATTTTCAAAAAATAAAATCCGTTAAAAATTCTCTTAAAATCTTAAAAATACCAAATATAGCTGTTAAATTGGGGTCTATACGACGTGGACCTACATGGGCATTGTTTGTTGTAAGCCATTACCATATTCAAATTCAAAACTTGAAATAAACGGTGAATAATAATCATGAAAATACCGCATATAGGGAGGTACCGTTATATCGAAGATCTGAACCTGCATTGACAATTTTCTGTCACAGGCTGTAGCATCCATTACGAACTTTAAATACGACATCTCAAACAATTTCAGTTAGTATTTTAACTAAAATCGTCAAAATACAGAATATAGAGAGGTACTAACATATAGGGCCTATACAAAGACCTGGACCTGCATAGACAATTTTCTATCACAGACTGTAGTTCCCATTACGAACTCTAAATACGTAGTTTGACTCTACTCCGGTGAATAATGACGCTAAAATCATCAAAATACCGAATATTTTTAGGTACCGTTAAAGGGGGGCTATACAAAGACGTGGTCCTGAACAGAAAATTTTCTCTCATAAGCTGTAGTATGCATTATGAACTTCAAATGCAAAATTTAAAACAATTCCGAAAATATTTGATCAAAATACCGAAAATATGGAGGTACCGTTATATGGGGGCTAAACGAGGCTGTAGTATCCGTTAGGAACTTCAAATACCAAATTTGAAACAATTCCGGTAAATTTCGCTAAAATCATCAAAATACCGAATATCGGGAGGTACCGTTATATGGAGGATATATGATATCGTGGACAATTCTTTCTTTCTCTATAGACAATTATCATCCAGGGGGCAAACTTTTCAGAAGGAACTCCTTGTAAAGATTTTCAGACAATTCCATTGAAAAATGGAGCCACAATCATCAAAATACCCAATATCGGGGGATACCGTTATATTTGGGATGTACGATATTGGGGTATAGGTGCCCAATTCAATTCTCTTACAGGCCTTAAAGTTCCCAAAAAGAACTCCTTGTGTAGAATTTCAGACAATTCCATTGAAAATTTGCCTAAATGCATCAAAATATCGAATATCGGGAGTTACCGTTATGTGGATACCATACGATATCGTGGACCCATCTACGAACTTGACCTGCCTGCACATAAAGGACAGATCTGCGCAAAATTTTAGCTTCCTATCCTAATTCGTTTTGACTCTAGCGTGATTACAACAGACAGGCGGACCGAGGGACGGACGGAAGGAATCGTCTTAGAATTTTACGCTGAACAAGATATACGAATATATTGCGTTAGGTCTAAAATTATTATTTCGATGAGTTACAAACGGAATGACTCCATGCTATGTATGGTGGAGAGTATAAAAAGGATTCAGTTGCGTACATGTTTTAACAAAATAAGTACTTTTCGAATTTTTTAAAATTTTTACTTCAAAATTTTGTGCAAATTGGGATATGGTAAAAAAGTTAGAAATGCGAGCTTTTCGCTCCA